CACCGCGCCTTCTGCGAGGCGATGGCCGCGCCAGCACGGCGTGGGGCCGCGGCGCCCACGCTGCGGCCGCCGCCGTGGGGCGCGGAGCCGGGCCAGGATCCGGCGGCAACGTCAGTCGGGCGGCTGCTGACCAGCGGTGGCCTAAACGGGGTCGGGCGGGGCCAGGACGAGGACGAATCCGTTCCAGAGCGTTCCGGAACGCTCCTAGAGCGCTCTGGAGCGCTCTGAGAAGGCCGCGGCGCGCGACGCATCCTCCAGAGCCGCCGGATTGCAGAGAGATCTTCGAGCTGTCCCCACCCGAGTGTGCCCCAGTCCTGGCTTCGTCTCCGTGGGGGGCGAAGACGAGGAGGGCCCTGGAGGGGGTCCTTGGACGGGCCCCTCTCGGGGCCCCTTCGGGCTCCTGCGTGGGGCCCCCTGGGGGGCCCCGCGCAGAAGCTGGTTCGTCGCCCCCCAGGTGGGTCCCCCCCGGGTCCGGGGGGGCGAGCGGCTCCCAAGCAGTGGCGGAGCGTCCCGGCCCACCAAAGAGTATTCTAAGAAAAAATCTTTCTTCGGGCCGGGCGAAAGGGGGGATTGGGAAAGGGGGGGTTACGAAATTTGCTGCATGCAGCTGGTTTCGGCCCCGCCGAGGGGCCCATTCCTCGATACATAGCCGCCTCCGGCGCCGGGAGGCGCCAGGAAAATCAGCTACGCGAGCTGATTCTCAAACCCCCCCTTTGCTATCCCCCCCTTTCGCCCGACCCGATTTTTGTGGGTTGCACGGGATGTTCTTAGGACACTTTTGGCTGGAGTCTTTCTTGTTTGAGCACATCGAGTTCATGGTCTGAGAACTCTGTCTCTGTTCTTGGAACAGTTTGGGGTTCCAAGGGCATGTCGTGGTAGGCACATAGGAATGCTGGGACGGTCGGTCCCTGCTCGAGGCTCAGACCTCCATCGAGCTCGGGAGCGGGGGCTCTCAGAGCCCCGAGGCATCAGGGCTGCGGGCAGTCAGGGGGTAGCTTCAGGGTCGGGCCTGTCCCCCTCCATAGGAGGAATATTCAGAACTAGTCCAAAGACAGTCTGGGGACGATTTTCTGACTACTTTGGACTACTTCGGGGTACTTGGTTGACCATTGCTTTGTTTTTCGCCCAACATCCGCCTGTAGGTGGACAGGCCCGACCTCAAGGTAACTACAGATTCGCGCCTCGGGGGCCCAAACCGGAGTTACCCTAGGGGAACACACAATGACATGAACATAAAAACTCGGATGCCCCCGCGGATTTCTGGGATCGGCGCTGGACTGCCCTTGCGGCGCCTCCCGCGCCGCCCCTGGCGCGCTCCGCGCGCCAGGGAGAGGGGTCCAGCGCCGATCCGAGAAATCCGCGCGGACCTCAGAGTTTCTAGGTTTATGTCATTGTTTGTTTCCCGATCCCGCAGACAACAGTTATCCCAGAACATTCCGGCGTCCAAACAACGCCATAAAGAGAAAATGTTGGCAGCGCGGGTTCAAGAAACCCGCGCGGAGCGCCAAAAGTTTGTGCTTATTGTTTGTTATTTACGAGATCTGGATCGGAGAACCTACACGCAGGTCTGAAGCTCGGGGAAGTAGGCATGTGCCGATCCCTAGATTCGGATCTACTTCAGGCGCCTTCCCACATCAATGATCGGCATGTTTTTGTTGCTGCTTTGTGCTACAGTCGGACCGAGGTATAAGATCGAGGTCGGTTCGGGGAGGGTGCCCAAGTGTTCTTGTGCATCCTGCGCATCCTGGGGAGAGTACCCTCTGATGCTTCGGTTGTGTTGGCCGGCGGAGGGTCTCACGTTCTTGAAGGACATCGTTTGGCTTATGTCCGACTGCATTGCTGGGGCGGGCCTGAACCCAATCTACTTAATCCGCCTTCCGACTTCATGCTTCCACCTGTGCCCACCCTCCTCCTCCTCCTCCTCCTCCTCCTCCTCTTTCTACTCCACCTCCTCCTCCCACATGCCCGCGTGGCGCTGTTCTCCCGTGGGCGACAGTGCCCAGCGGTCAGTGTGTCTCCTGCTAGGGCTGGCGACAGCATTGCAGGGTCGCGGCCCACGAGCGCGGGAATACTCAAGGTGTCAAGCTAAACGTTGCTGACTGGTTCCGCCTCCTCGGCCTGCGGAGGAAAAAATATCCTCGCCCTCCTCCACCTCCTCCTCCCCCTCCTCCTCCTCCTCCTCCTCCTCCTCCTCCTCCTCCTCCTCGTTGGGGGATCTGTCACAGACCTTCCAACGTTGGGCCGCCCCCCAGCCGAGCCCCCTATGGCTTCAAAAAAAACGACTCTGGGTAAAAAAACGGGTCCCGGTGAGTGGGGCGAGGCGGCCACAGATCAGGGGCAACGATAGGGGGGGGGATAGGCATACAGTGGAGGCGCGCATCAAGAAACCATGTGCTTTTCGTCGGGGTGTCCAGGATTTCTTCGCTCCGCCCGCTGCGCGGTGACTTCCCGCAGCCGTTGAAGAAGCTGCTACGTTCAGGGCGCTCCCTTATTCCCCTCCGGTGCACCTCACGCGCGGGTTTTCAGGGTTGGGTTTCTTGCGAAGGTTTCTTGCGGCCGCGCCCGCACTGTAGGCATAGGGGACGATGCATCGACCCACAATCTGCCATTCATCGCCCACAATTAGGGGCTCGACGGCCCCAACCTGCCCAGGAACGTACGGGTTCACTGTCGGGGGCCTGTCGCTGATCTATCGGCGATGTGTCGTCGCTTCCGGGTCGGTGTGTCCACGTGCTCCCGCCCACGCCCGCCTCCCCCATATCGTGGCCCTTCTAGGGGCGATCGGCGCAGGTCCAGACCCTCCACCGCATTGAAAGACGGCAGCGTTTTTTGCTGCTTGTTCTCCAGGTTCCGGCCCCAAGATGGAGGACCTGCGGGACCGTCGGAGAGCGATTCGGGATGGCAAGCTGGCCCCCCGGATGGGGTCGAGACTTCTGGGGGCCGGGCATTGAGCACAACACAAAAATCAAGACGCTGGCTTAGGGGGGGGGCATGCTTTCGAGCGCCAGCGGAAGCTGCCGCGTGGGCTCCATCGGCTGCTCCTCGCCGAGGGCGTTCCGGAGGTGGCGGGATCCTCTCGAGCGGCCGCAGGAGCGACGAGTGAGGGCCCGCGAGCCTGCTGACGGTGATGCAGGCGAAGGGGGGATGCTCCTAGGCCTCCTATGTTCTGCACGCCCGAAATGGGTATTGAAAGAATGGGTACAATGCCCAACAGCGGATCTTGTTCATTTTGAACAGGGCTCGCTGTCCACGCCGCCGCGGCCTGTGTCCATTCGAGACAGGAGGCCGCCTGCCCAACAGCGGCCGCTGTTGGTTTGGGACAACATTTGCTGTTGGGCATTGTACCCATTTTTTCGGTACCCATTTCGGGCGTCCAAATATGTGGGGTCCGAGTAGATGGGGTCGGGGGTGGACAGAACTCCCAACATTGACACGTCGATTAGTGAATTGTCCGTTTTCCGTTCTCGAGAGGGCGCCGTGGCTGTTATCTTCCAGGCTTGCGCCCGCCAGGTGTGGGCCCCAGGTCGCTTTCACTAAACCACGTTTTACTAAAGGGGGGCTTGTCCATCCCCGAATGGGGTCGAAGTAGATGGGGTCGGAGGGTCGCGCCGCAGTGTCGATGCATCGGTGGTGCGGCTCGATGTGGAGCCCGAGTTTCTCCACGCTGGAGTCGCCGATGCATCGGCGATGCGGTGCGATCCTCCGACCCCAATTTTGTCCGACCCCACCTAGGAGGCCTCTAGATGCATCGCCCCCATATCGCCCACGCCTATAGGGGCCTGATGGCCCACCCAGCCCAGGAGCGCGCGGATTCGCTGCTGGGGGCGTGTCGCTGACCTATCGGCGACGTACTGCAGATTCCAGGTGGATGCCCCCCCTGAGCGGGGGCCCCACTGCTTATCGTTGCCCCTCAGGAGCTCGGCGAGGGCGGCGAGCCCGAGGTGGAGGAGGAGGAGGAGGAGGAGGAAGAGGAGGAGGCGCGGGCATCGTCGTCGTCGTCGTCGCCAGCGTCCACCCGCGTACATACCGCATTTGACATCTGACATCTTCGCGTCGTGACGTAGGTCGTCTGACACCGTCGCGTCGCAGCCAGGGCCCTCCTGGATCGAGTGGGTTCGGGAAACGTTGCGTAAAGTTTGGGCCCCAGATTCTAGACCTCTAGATTGGCAAGGTTCGCTGCCAATGTTGCAACCCCGAGGTGTCTGAAGGATTCCGGCATGCGCGCGCGACGCGCGCGTGTCCACTTCGTTCCGTTTGTTTCCAAGGATTTTTCAGACAGCACGCGCGCAAGGGCGTTCGAACGCTTCGACATGCACGCGCGAGAGGTCCGTTTGGTAGCATTTTATAGCAATTCGTCGATACATTAGTTTTCTGACGAATCTGAAAGAGAGCGAGCGCAGGCTTCGCTTGAAAATTCTTGATGCGAAACAATGATTTTAAAGATATACAAACCATCGGGACACTCCATCTTGAAATCCCTACGGAACCTAAGGTGTTTGAAATATTCCGGCATGTGCGCGCGACGACGCGCGCGTGTGCATTTCGTCTTATGTTTTCGCAAGGGGTTCTCGACAATTGACGTTTGTTAATAAACGAGTGTCCGTGCATAGAAGCTTTTTCAGAGGATGAGGGGGGACCGTTACCAGCTTGGTTGGGGCGACATGGTGTCACAAGCACGGTCGGCGATCGGGCAGAATCGCGTGCCCACTGCAACATGAGCAGGGTGGCCCGTCAAGTCGGGGGTGGGGTAAATCCTAATATATTTTCCAGAGAGGAGGATCATTCCTCAAACATTCCCCCCCCCCTCATCCTGCTACCCCGTCGTCTGCTGCTCGTCGTCGTCGGCCCGTCGCCCGACCATCCATCCTCCAAGTCGTAGGCGCTCGCTGCCGCGGGTAGCTCATACGACCGCAGCTCCGTATGACATAGGTGCTAGCTTGACGTGCGTCACTGTACAACTTGCTGTCAGGTGAAGGAGCACTGCCGGGCTCGCTGACATCTACGGATGATTGAGCCTGATGCGAGGTGGTGCGAGGTGACGCAGAGGGTGCGAGAGGATGCCTGAAGCTTGGAACTGCGATGCATGATGACCTATCTCCCGCTGTCATCTCCCAACATGAGCCAGTGGCGCCGCCCATCAAGGTGGGGCCTCCCGCCCCGCGTGGGACACCCCGCAGGCCCCCCCCCGCCTGCACCCCCGCACCCACGGGACCACCCCATGGGACTCCCCCATCGGATTTCCCGAGAGGGCTCCCCCATGGGGAGGCCGAACCCAAAGGACGGAACCAGAGTCATTGGCATGACCGCAGATTCCGCTGACAACAGCTGCTCTTAAACAACGTGTAAAATGGACGTTCCAGATCTGGAGGCCATGTGGGGATCCAAGCTCCGCGCCTCCCATTTTCTATGGACAGGTTGCCGCAATCTAGACTATATTCGATACGGTAAGCAAGGGCTGCCTCGAAAGTTTGGGCCGCGATTGTCAGTCTTGTGCTTGGGGATAAGGGTGGTATTAGAAGCCGAGCACCAGACTTGACACCTTCCCTTTTTTACCACTAGTTGAAATTCTGACGACAACCAAAATACGACCTGGTTCTGATATCCCGTAATGTATTTGGTGGACCCCATGCCAAGTCTGACTAGTTTGGTGGGAAAACATCCTAGTGACCCTGATGAACTGCTCCAGCGGTGTTTCTGGAAGCTTCTCAACATCTGCTGGGATTACATCAAAAGGGTTTGTTGTGATAGTCGTGAACCAAAATTAGGGTCTGGTCCGATTAAAGTTCCGCTTGGGTGTCTGAGAACTCGGAGACAGCATGATCGACAACATCTTGGGGCCTTCCAGGACCAACGTCCAGGTGTGCCAGAAGATGTCGCAGCATATGCTGGAGCCAAATCATTGGCTGAACTCGCGAAGTCCAGGATGTCCCAGATTCTTTGTACACCGCCGGCACTGGGACGAGTTTTTCTCTAGAACGTTCCCCGTCTTGGAAGCTCACGTCCTGGGGCACGTCTCCGTAGTCAGACATTCAGCGTGTTCGAAATTATTAACAAAGAGGCCATACACGGCGTTCAGCAAACCATGGTTTTCTCGTTGACGTCGGCGGGTTGATTGTGTAGCATCCAGAGTTGCATCCAATGGACGTCTGTGCTTCGGAACAAGGGGGGGAGGAGAACGAGGAGGAGAGGGGCATGTGAATGTCGGGGAAGGCCAGGAGGAGGAGGAGGAGGAGGGGGAGGCGGAGGAGGAAGAGGAGGAGGAGGAGGGGAGGGGATCAGCGGGAGGCATTGCAGGAGGAGGCGGATGACCTAGAGGAGGATCATTGGGAGTAGGAGGACTGAGAGGAACAGAACCATCAAACCAACAGATGTCGCAAACAATGGAGCACGAATAGGAGGAGCAGCAACAGGGTACCCGAGATGTGGAGCCGAATGTGTATGATTAGAGATTGAAGAGGTCGATGAGCTCCGGAAACTTCCTGGGGGGAACCGCCATGAAGGATTAGGGATGACGGATGACGAAGGCAATACACGAGAGGTCTACGGTACACGCTAGACTGGGGGCGGTAGGAAGAGGCGGCGAAGGAGGATAATGTCTTCAGCGCGCTTGCAGGGTGTCGGTGCTTCGAACCAGGGAGTGTCTAGCGTTGCATTGTGTGTGTGGGATGGGGAGGAAAGGAGGGGTGGTGGATGTGGAGACGAGGGGGAGGATGCAGAGGGGGCAGAGGATGAGGGAGGGAACGGAATGGAGGGGAATACGTACGGGAATGCTACAAAGATCAGACGGAGGGGAAGGAATAGAAAGATGAGGGGGAGGAGGAGAAGAAGTTGGCGGTGAACCCGGTGATGCGTGCGCGGCAGTTTGAATACCTCTGCAACGTGCACCTCGGCCTTACGTGTCCTTCGCAAATGTCTCGCCTTCGCCCTCGAGCATTTTGTCGATTCCATCCGATGCTCCGCCATCACTCAGCATCTGCATTCTGCTGGACTGCATGATGCCCAGGTTATAGGTCACTCCTGCCTTCCTGTATTGTTCTTGCGCTCCGTGCTTGGAGGAGGATGAGGAGGAGCTGATGCTCTGGCGAACAGACTTGGAGGACCCTTTCGAGCGAGCGAATGTTGATGTTGATTCGAGTCGGGTGCACGGCAGGGTGAGAGAGCAGAATGTGTTGCCCTTGCAGATCGGTTCGTAACTTAATTTCTTTTTTCTCGATCTCGTTTTGTATATTTCACCCAGTCCGTCTAGTCCGTCTGGTCAGAGGGGAATTCAGCGGCCTGGAGGTGAAGGGGAGAGGTTGACCCGATCCAGCGACGTGGAGCAGTGTTTCATTTGACCCCCAGTCCTTCCCTCAACCCCACCCCGTCTGGGTTCTCCTGCCGTTCACCCTCTCAATCTTCCCTGTGCGGTGCGACCTGTTGACCACTCAGAACTCCCTGGCGCACTGTTTCAATTGAAGCCTGCAATCTTCCTCATCTACCATCCTACCCTTCTCTCCCGTC